GCACACCAGGCTGCGAGAGCCGTTGTTTGCTAAATCATGGGCATAGCGGACGCACACAGTCCTCAGGGCCAGAACGCTAGAAGACCCACTGATGAGGCAGACCCCCTGGTAATTGCTTTATACTGTGTGGCACGAAATTGTCGATAGGGTATTCAAGCTTTCTTCAAGGGGATTCTTTACAGTGAAATCATAATACTCAGCAATCAAACTCTGAAAAAGCATTCTGCTATAGCAGAATGATATGCTTATCAAAAAAACTAAACGTCTTAACTAGTGGAGATCATGTAGCACAAATACTGACAAGCGAGCCAATCGAAGAGCACCAAAGATGGTTCAGGATTAACCTGGAATACAGGCAACGGACTCCTCACCATTCAAACAGATAGTGCCCCCAAGCGTCATGCAGACTGCAGATCCTCTTGAGAGACTCCACTGCTTTCAACCTACGGACCCTTCACTGTTTAGGCATCTGCAAAACTGACTGTCAAGAGCAGTAATCACGCGTCATCATGCAAAAAGCAGCAAGGCTGTCGGTCCGACTGACGAGGTCGCTCTCATTTGCGCTGAGGATGGTGACCTGAAAAAAAAGAGAGAAGGAGGGCTGTTTTCTCTCAGGACTCGTGAGAGGCTAGAAAGTTCTTGCATTCCCCGAAAACGCTTTTTTGACCGAAAAGTGGTTAGCACCCGGGAAGATCTCCTCCACCTGCCCTCCATGTGGACAGTCCATCAAAATCCAGGCAATGCTGACTAAAACTCAGGAGATGCGACCTGCGAACGGCGATTACGTGGTAACGTACCGTGACAGATCGGAGCTACTGTTGCATCGTGCCGTGTTGAACATCTTGAAGGCAGTTTTGCATTCGTCTAGTGGAACTCCATTTCCAGTAATATCACTCACCAAAATAGCATTGGTGAGCACGTCAAGTCGACTATTTTCGACTTGAAAGACAGTCACTCAGGCGCATGGTGCTGCTGCTGCGGCATGATGAATTGGCTTGACGTGTGGGCGTGGAGAGGGCCTTAGTGAAGCCTCAACGTTCAATATCCCTACTTTCCACGACTTGCAGCAAACATTATCTCATAAAATCCCAAAATGTGGACGACAACAACAATTTGAGGGGGTCCTTTCAGGGGAACATGGTTGAGCTTTTGGAGTACAAAGGCCGTAGAGCTTTGTCACCAACAAAGAAGACGAGGTGGCGAGCATACGTAGCTTTCGGCGAATTCTCGTCGGGCCAGTACAGTTTTATGGGAGCGGGGTAGAAGACATGTCAGCGACAAGAGAAATCGACAAAAGTTCGCCTTTAAGCACAGGCGGGGTGAGTAGGCTCTGCGCCTACAGTGGTCGAAGGTCGACTAACCCTGCAACTCTCCGCGCTCTTCCACTCTCTCCCCGCCCCTGACACTGCCTGCTATTACTCCCCCCCACCTACCCCTATCCCTCCCCCGCATTCTCACACACCGCCTTAGTTTTAAGGCGAACTTTTATAGATTTATCTTATCGCTGACATGCTTTACTTCTACCTCGTTCCCACTTAACTGTACTGGCCCGACGAGAATTTGCCGAAAGCAATGTATGCTCGCCACCTCGTCTTCAGATTACTGCTATGGGAATTTTCGCAAATCTAAAATCGATTACAACTTTGCCTTCCAACCTTTCTACGGGCAAGTTAGCACGCCTCCTAGCGTTTTCCCGCACCGCCAATATACTGTCTCCGGAAGGGGGATTATAAAAAAATCAAAGTTTCGAAAATTCCCAAGGAAAAGTTCAGGGGAGAATTTGGCCAGTATACGCTTGCTTTCGATAAATTCTCATCGGGACAGTACACTTAGGTGGTACAAAGTGAAAAGTTTTAACGATAAGAGGAATCTATTAGGGGCCGTCTTTCCGTAGAAGCGGGTTGATGGAATCGGGGGGGAGGGAGAGGAGGCAGTAAGTGACAATGAGGGTAAGATAAAGCCGTCTCACAGCACGAATTAAACTCACCTCTGTGATAAAATCCATCTGCGCCTGGACTCGAGATAAGAGCGGGTTGAAATGACGACCAAAGCTGATTCTCTGGACCATTTGGAACCGGCGAGTGGTCGAGATGGTATGACAGTGATGAATGTAAATGCCTTTGATGTCCTGAGGGTGGGGACATTGTCGCAATGCCGAATGAACTTAAGACGTTTTCCGTTTGATATCCAAGAGAAAAAAGACAGACTTCCGAAAAGGGGCGTTAGTAGGCACTCTTCAAGGCACTACCGACCGGTTATAGTGACGGACCCAGGGAGGGGAATTCTTTTGTTCGTCTTCAGTGATATCTATTGGTTAGTTAAAAAAAAGCTGATGCGCAAATCGTCCAATGAGGAAAACCTGCTATCCAAAAATCAATCCTGCCCAGTTCATGCAACCAGGAATTTTGGGACTGGGTTCGTAAAGTGTATAAATAACTTACTTCTGCCGATGGATGTAGTTGTAATGAATAATGCAAGAGTTTGGAAAACAGACTAGGGTGAAGTACATCATCAGTTTGGTACTCTCTGGAGGACATACTAAAATATAAAATTGCAGGAAAACCAGCCAACTCCATACTTGTCAGTGTTGGAAGTCTTGATAGCTTGTTGGTTGTGGGAAAAAGTCCCTTGAATGAATTCTGATAGCTTCGTAAGGTTAAGCACACTAGATATCGTCTTGACCAGATTAGCGTCACTATATCCTTTGAGAACGCGTTAACAGCCGAAAATGCATTACCAATACATACCAAAATGACCACCAGCAATGTAACGACATTTTGTAATTTCGTTTATGAACAATCTACGGCAACAGGTGGAATAAGGAATATAATTGCTCACTCCCAATAAGCAAAATCATGGTAAAGAGTACATTAAAGAACCGCCTTACCTAAAATTCTTGGTAAACTGTGGTTATGCAGACCCACCTGATGGACACAATGCTGTTTGGATTGGGGTTAGGAGTTTAGGGTCAGGATTGGGGGTAGGATTTAGTGGTTAGGGCTAGCGGTTGGGGGTTAGGGTAAGGACAATTATTTCTCAACCACTCACACTACAACCACGCACTACCAATAGCCTTTTTTGCATACAACTACTTGATCTCCTCGCCGGCGCGTTCCCCGGTTCCACCTGTAAAAACCCCCCTATCACCACCGATCTCATATTACAGGTGGCTGAGATTTGTTCACTTCAGGTGGGGCTACATAACCACATCTGGGAAAATTCTTTCGAGTTTTTGACCGAGCTGTCGAAGACAATACTAAGTTTAGCATTAACAGTCAGGATAGGCCTAGAGTTACGGCAGGAGGGCTACGGATGATGTATGGTGTATGATTTCTGGTCAGTGTTGGGTCCTGTATGGGTTTCAGGGATCTCTGTTAGGGATAGTCGTGACGTTGGGTTTGGGCATAAGCCTAAATAACCCTTCTTGCAATCCTTCTAACAATCCTTACTTTACTTACTTGGGTCTCGTCCGTGGCTTTTGCACTCTCTGCGTAACTTTTATACTGTCCTGTAGTTCAGATCATAACATTATCCGACCCCTATTTCTTAAACCCAAATCGAACACTTACCATGATAATAATCTTAAGCCTAACCGCAACCGGGCCTTTTCTGTTCCCATCCTATATGGCATACGCTTTTACCAGTTTTTTTAAAAGGGCTTTTAGTTGAAACGGGTAAATAAAGTTAAGTATGACATTTCTGATCAAATGCGAAGAAAAATACTAAAGTAAAGTTCGACATTTTTTACCTAATCGGTAAGGTCTGTTGCAAGACTCATGAGGGGAAAACTTAAGCATGGACACCTTTCTCGCACGCGCATTGACTAGGCAGCTTCTAAAAACACAGTGGAACATCAAAAAAGAGAAGAGGATTTCACAAGGAGAGATTTACTGAAGATTAGCCATTTCGAGCAGTTATTTCGTCTACCCATCTTCACAGACCAGAATAAGGTCGTGTACCCAGCCTTCATTATGTGGCGCACGTTGTTTGATGTGTATCCCATCAGTGCCGCCTGAGTGGCTGCATCCGACCCGCATTTAACCGTGACCTGTGTCAACCCCCCCTTCCCCCCTCGTCGACCGCGGAGATATTTGACGGCCCCGATGGTTCGTAAAACCAGGTAGGGCGGAGAAGGCAAATAAGTGTGGCGGTTAGCGGAGCCGTCGGTGGGCATCCAGCTTTTTTACATCTGCCTTGCTGTCTGATCGCCACCTCTGCCTACGACCTCCACGGCGTCAACTTTAAAGAGGCGTCTTATTTGCGTAGCATGGGTTGCCACCTCTGACCTTGGGTCCAACCTTCGCACGCCAAGCGATGCTTGTACATTCGCGTTTGCAGGCACCGGCCGGTTTCCCCAACGCAGTTGCGCATCCCACAGCTGCACTGAAGTCGGTAGACAAAGGGCGAATCTCCTGTTTGGGGATAGGGTCTATTGGCGGCATCAGTTGCCGGCGGAGCTGTGAGAGCTGCCCCTGTTCTGAGTGGCCATACTCATTCTCCTCATCCTACCTCTTTTTCCTCTTACTCTGTCTATTCTTCTGCCTATTCTTCTCCTTCGTCATCTTCTTCTCCATCTCCCTCCCGTCGCTCCACTCGTTGTCACCAGACTGGCAGAGTAGGTCCGCTCAATCTGGCAACCTGGAATATTCGTTCCTTATAGGCAATCCGAGGAGCAACCAAACGGAACGGAGGACAGCGTTAGTGGCACGAGAACTGGCGCGCTACAAGGTGGACATCGCCGCATTCAGCGAGACCCGTTCCTCCGACCAAGACCAACTGGAAGAGATGGGAGCCGGTTACACCTTCTACAGGGGTGTTCGACCCAGGGCAGAGCGATGAGACGCGGGTGTCGCCTTCGCTATTCGGAAAGATATCGTGGGACGACTACCCTGTTTGCCGCAGGGTATCAACGATCGCCTGATGAGCCTCCGTCTGCCTCTCAGGCGGGGGGGGGGGAAGGGGGCAAATTCGTCACCATCATCAGTGCCTACGCTCCGAACATGACCAACCCCGACGCCGTCAGAGACCAATTCTACGAGGACCTGCACGCCCTCGTGGCGACTATGCCGAAGGCGGGCAAGTTGATTGTCCTTGGCGACTTCAACGCCCGCGTCGGCACAGACCATAATGCATGGAGAGGAGTGCTGCGTCCTCACGGTCTCCGCGGCTCCAACGACAACGGCCTGCTGCTCCTCCGCACCTGCGCAGAACACCGCCTCATCCTGACGAACACGTTCTTCTGTCTGCCGGAGCGAGAGAAGGCCACCTGGAGGCATCCTCGGTCGCGTCAGTGGCACCTGCTGGACTGTGTCCTCGTCCGGAGGCGAGATCAGCGGGACGTGCTGGTGACGAAGGCGATCGCGGTTGCTGACGGGTGGACCGACCATCGCCTCGTCATCTCGAAGATGCGTATTCGCCTACAGCCTCGCAGGAGACCACAAGGTAAGCGACCCCCAGGTAAGCTGAATGTTGCTTTGTTGTCTTTGCCCGCTCATCATCTTCATTTCAGTAATGAGCTAGCTCAACGGCTAGACAACCTTCCCATCGCCGATGCCGCCGCTGCCGAGAACGCCTCCGTGGAGAACCGTTGGTGTCAACTGCGAGACACGGTCCAGTCGACGGCACTCGCCGTCCTCGTTCGCGCTCCCCGCCAACAACAGGACTTTTTCGACGAAAACGACGCCGCCATCAGAAATCTGCTTGTTGAGAAGAACCGCCTACACAAAGCCTACGTCGATCACCCCTCTGAGGACAACAAAGCTACCTTCTACCGCTGTCGCCGCCACCTCCAGCAGAGACTGCGCGAGATGCGGGACGCCTGGACTGCTCGCAAGGCTCAGGAGATCCAAGGCTACGCGGACCGCAACGAATGGAAGAATTTCTTCTCCGTGATCAAAGCTGTCTACGGTCCGCCGACGAAAGGCATTGCGCCTATTCTCAGCGTCCATGTCAGCACCCCCCTGACGGAGAAGACACAAATCCCACAGCGATGGGCCGAGCATTTTCCAGGCGTCCTCAACCGCCCCTCCGTCATCTCCGACGCCGCCATCGCCCGTCTACCGCAAGTGGAGACCAACGTGGACCTCGACCTCCCGCCATCTCTTCAGGAAACCATCAGGGCCGTGCAGCAGCTCTCCAACGGGAAAGCACCCGGATCGGACGCAATCCCTGCTGAGGTCTACAAGCACGGAGGTCCCCAACTGATGAATCACCTGACTGCGCTCTTCCAGGAGATGTGGCGTCAGGGTGAAGTCCCGCAAGATTTCAAGGACGCAACAATCGTGCACCTATAAAAGCGAAAAGGAAATCGCCAAATCTGTGGCAATAACCGCGGCACATCCTTGCTGAACATCGCCGGGATGATCTTCGCTCGCATCCTTCGCAACCGCATCGATAACCACCTGGAACAGGGCCTTCTGCCGGAAAGCCAATGCGGCTTCCGTCGTCATCTGGGGACCACGGATATGATCTTCGCCGCCCGCCAACTTCAAGAGAAGTGTCAGGAGATGCGGACCCACCTGTACTCTACATTCCTGGACCTGACGAAAGCCTTCGACACGGTGAATCGTGCAGGATTGTGGAAGTCTTGCAGGAATTCGGCTGTCCGGAGCGACTCATTCAGATGGTGCGTCAGCTGCACGACGGTATGATGGCGCGAGTCACGGACAACGGAGCTGTCTCAGAGACATTCACAATGACCAACGGAGTGAAGCAGTGATGCGTGCTGGCACCAACCCTCTTCATAAGGCGTTTCGCAAGGACGAGCCATCCTCTATGAGCCCAGGTAGAAAGCATATTCACTCAATCAATAATCTTAAGTGGCACATCAAAAAGAGAAGAGGCGTTCACAAGGAGAGATTTACTGGAAGCCTGACATTCCAAGCAGTTATTTCGTCTACCCATCTTCATAGACCAGAATAAGGTCGTGTGCACAGCCTTCATTATGTGGCGCAGGTTGTTTGATGCGTAGCCCACCAGTGCCGCTTGAGTGGCTGCATCCGACCAGCATTTCACCGTGACCTGTGTCAACCCCCCCTTCCCCCCTCGTCGACCGCGGAGATATTTGACGGCCCCGATGGTTCGTAAAACCAGGTAGGGCGGAGAAGGCAAATAAGTGTGGCGGTTAGCGGAGCCGTCGGTGGGCATCCAGCTTTTTTACATCTGCCTTGCTGTCTGATCGCCACCTCTGCCTACGACCTCCACGGCGTCAACTTTAAAGAGGCGTCTTATTTGCGTAGCATGGGTTGCCACCTCTGACCTTGGGTCCAACCTTCGCACGCCAAGCGATGCTTGTACATTCGCGTTTGCAGCCACCGGCCGGTTTCCCCAACGTAGTTGCACATCCCACAGCTGCACTGAAGACAAAGGCCGAATCTCCTGTTTAGGGATAGTGTTTATTGGCAGCATCAACTGCCGGCGGAGCTGTGAGAGCTGCCCTTGTTCTGAGTGGCCGGAGGCATCTAACCACGGCTTCGGAGACCTACCTCATGTACGGAATGCTCTGCCAAGATTTTGGTTGATTATGCTCTTGCTTCCGCTTCCTTTGTTGCGTCCAACGACGTTTAACGATTTCTCATGACTAACCGCTGGATCTGAAGAGTCTCTGAAAAGAACATAATAAGTAAGAACCCTGTTTTCCTGTTTTTTTTTTGCCGTGCTTCCTTGTGGAACTTCATCGATGACTAATTTAGTGATTTTTGTAAAGATCCAATATGCGAGTTGCGCCTGTCACTTTCTTGAATACGTTGGTTTATAGACGCCCCGCCATCTTCGCAACATGCAAGCGCAGCAAGAAAAGTAAGTGAAATGTTCCCTATTTTGTGCTTTCGTGGCATCTATGTTCGGCTAGACGGCCTTGAGAGGCTCCTCAAAGGTGAACACCTGGTCACTTTTGCTGACATCGAGGGTGGTTTTCACGCCTTCTGTTCATAAATTCTCCCTGTGACGTTAAAAAAAGCAGTGAATCTAACGATGTGGTTTTTGACTCGCGAAAATTCTCATAGGAGGATTCAGAAAACCAGTTAGCGGGCGAACGCGTGCCTGGATAAATTTCCGTCGGGAAAGTGCATTCATATGGGAACGAAGCACGAGCAAATCATGGGAGAAATAAAAGAAATGGACTACAGTCGTATTTTCACACAAGTGGGCCGTGAGAACAGGGCAGGAAAAAAAGTAAGGGACATGGTGTTAAGGGGCAGTGAGGGTCAGGCAGTTTTTTTATTTGGATATTAATCCTTCAATTAAAAAACTGTTGCAAAGGGCCGTTCTTGACGTGAGGATAATTCGCCTGCACCCTAATCTCTAATGCTCTTTGCCTGAGGACTTGATTGTTATAGCTGGCACGCAGTTGCATAGTCTTTCAGAATCAACCAGAAGTCATGAAGCCTGCCAAATTGGGCTTTCTGGAGAAAGCTCTGGCTCTAGGAAACTTCTTGCTCTTTAAGCCAAACGTCGGTGGTCGATGCCTATTTCTAGAAAGCTGGACATACTGTATGAACACAGCATGAATAAAGTTGACGTCACCGGATTGCTGAATCCCGTGAACCCTACGGCAGCGGTATGCACAAAAATGCAGCCGAAAACAGGGCTGTTTAGACTGGTGTTATACCACCTTCAACACAGGCCTCTAACAGCTACTGAAGAAGCTAGCTACCAGCCTACTAAAGATGTCTTACCAACCAACCAAAGTACAACCGCGCATTCCGAATAGCTTTTCTTTTGCATACAATTATTTGACCCCGTTGCCTGTGCATTCCCCGGTCCCACCTGTAAAAAACTGTATTACCACTAGAGGTGGTTGGGTTTTTTTTACTTTAGATAGGGATACCAAACCACATCTGACCAGCCTCTGACTTGTTATAGCGTTTCCAATTACAGACTACTGGGTGGATCCGAGAGACTAGGGCGATACATTGCTGACGGGACGGATTCCAGGAAGCGGTTCAGAAGAAGATGCGATCGTTGGAACAGAAAGTTTAGTGACCTGATTTTTCGGGTGTTCACTCGAACACATCATCAGAGACAGTCGCAGGCGATGAATCCGAAACGTCGGGCCAATAAACCTCCTGTTTCAGCATCCTCGTTTTGATTCATAAAACGAAAAGTACTCACATCTCCATTTCGCTGTGACATCGTGCGAATTCATGCTCCCAGAAACGGTAGGCAGGATTGCGCAACAACTCCGCTGACATCATCAGAATGCCCCAAGGGTGAGGTTGATTGACAACCAGTCGTCCCATCAGCACGCGACTAATCTGCTCCTTCACCTGCTCTTTGAAGTGTTCAGAGGAGAGGTAGAGGATAGTATAGGAGAAGTAGTAAGTGTGGGAGTTTGGATAACGCAGCTGGTTCGCCATGCAGTTAAGCAGCAAATGTTGACCTAGACCAGAAACAAAAAGAGAAAATAAAACAAAGTCAAGACACGCATTTGAAGCGGTTATCATTACCAGAAGACAGATAAGACAGGCAACAGTACGCACAACAGATTATTAATGTCTCTAAGTGGCGACTGCTATGTTTGGTTTACATAAAGCAGGCTTTGACGGAAGGGGGTGGGCAATTTCGCCCCGTACTAACACACACACACACACGACAGTTCGACCGTCGATTTCGACGATGTCCACCGTGTGCCCCACAGCAGGTGGGAGCAGGGACGGTGAGTTGCGCAGGGGTTTATAGTGCCGGTAGACTAGCGCTGCATCTACCTACAGGAGAAAAACGGAGCCGGCGCGCAAGCACACGGGGTTGAGGTCGTGCTACCGATGCTTTTGCGTCAACAGCTGGCAAGGCCCCACGGTAGCGGAGTGCGCGTGACCACCACCGTCGCCGCTGCAGAGGATAACATACATAGACGACGGTACACGCTCCGCAAGTTCTATACGGAGACTCAAACATACGATAGGGAGGGACGGGTGTACGTGAGTCAGGAATAGTAGGTGTTTCGGGACGCAAGGGGGTAAGAGAGAGGAACGCGACGCTACTATTTGGACGGAATGAGAGCTGCATTGGCTGACTGCTGTTGGTTGTTTTTCTGGTCACGGGGATTGGTCGGCACAGCGCCACCGCCAGGTGCTAGGCTGGAACTCGGCTGTGCTGACGTGGACATTGAGCGACCGGGGATTGGGGCCTGGAAGTTTGGAATGCAACTATTCGCCACTATGGTGACGATCCTGTCCGGTTGGGGGTGGGGTACGAAAAAGACAGCAGTTTTGTTAGGGATAGTAAAGACATGCCGGTACAGCATAGGTTCCACCGCTTCTACAAACTCTGACGACGGCTGTTACGTTGTTTTTCCACACTGCCGTCCGATCAAGTTTAACGGGCGAGTGTGATGAAAGCAGGTCGTGGAAGGCGGACGAGGTTGGGATAGACTGAACCTTCTCCCCCTGAAATTAGTCCCCAAGCCGCACGATATGCCAGGAACGCGGGAACCCCGAGCAACACTCCAACGTCATTGTTAAGTTCTGTTCGTAATGCCCGCGAGAATAATGGGCAGCAGGACTAACCTCCAATAATGTCATCCCACGCACAATTCGGAGCTATGTATTGCCTACTTAGCCCTGAATCGTTCAAGTATTGAACCATGTCCGTACAATAGGACGTCAGTGTGATTAAATTTTGCACGATATCAATAGAGGTTAGTCCCAGTATGATGCTGCATTAGGTTATCACGCTTCCCTTTTCCGCAATTTTATATTTTACTCTACCATTAGGCAAATAACTTGGACTGATAGCCAAAACGTCTGTTTAAACGATTGTAGTCGAATTAAATGAGAGTGCGCCGAACATACTGTCGAAAGTATCATTTCCGGAGCTGACAGCCAAAGGCAGACGTTTGCCCAACGGAAGGAAGCAGTAACCATGTAAACATGAACTTCAGGAGTGGGATGTGAGGGGCCCGACGAAAGTGTCAAAAGGCAGTCGGTTCTGAGGAACCATTACCAACTGGGGTGTCAGTTTCCGCTAAACTTACCATCATTACTCGGCCGGAGGCTGGAGAATGGCGGACCTGATGAGTCAGCCACCACTGTATATCTTAGCTTTGCTAGTCCTCGCCGTGTGATCGACCACGAGGGCCGGAGATCCAAGGCAAAACGGAAAGCCCACTTTGCCCCTAGTGATGGTCATCTGTCCGTAGTCGGGCTGGGCATGGACGCTGAGCCATGCAGCATTCAGACATCAAAATATGTCAAGTTGTTTTTGCCAGACTGGCGGGACTGCGGTCACCCCAACCCATCGCTTAGTCTCACTAGCAGACGCGTAGAATTCAACTGTACACTACCTAGACGTATGG